AGCGGGGTACTGCAGGGACCAGTTCTTGGCCCTATGCTATTTAACATTTTTATCAATGAACTGGAAGAAAACATAAAGTTATCATTGATAAAGTTTGCAGATGACACTAAAATTGGGAGTGTCATAAATAATGAGGTGATCAGATCACTGATACAGATTGATCTGGATCTCTTGGTAAGCTGGGCACAAGGAAACAATATGCATTTTTATATGGCTAAATGTAAATGTATACATATAGGAACAAAGTATGTATGCAATGCTTACAGGATGGGGGACTCTGTCCTGGAAATCAGTGACTCTGAAGAAGATTTGGGGGTTTTGGTGGATAATCAGCTGAACATGAGCTCCCACTGTGATGCTATGGCCAACAGGGCTAGTGTGATAAATGGAACTCTCGAGTAGGAATAGAGAGGTTATTTTACCTCTGTGTTTTGCACTGGTACAACTGCTGCTGGAATAATGTATGCAGTTTTGTGTCCACAATTCAAGAAGGATTGGAAAGGGGTCAGAGAAGAGCCATAAGAATGAGAAAACATGCTCTCTAGTGACAGACTTAAGGAATTCAATCTACTTCACTTAACAGAGAGAAAGTTAAGGAGTGACTTGATCCCAGTTTATAAATACCTGCATAGGGAATAAATATTTAATAATGGGCTCTTCAAACTAGCAGGCAAATGTATAACAAGGTCCAATGGCTGGAGGGTAGCTAGAAAATTCAAACTGAAGGGCTGACGGGTAAACTAGACAAATTCAGACTGGAAATAAGGTATACATTTTTAACAATGAGCATAATTAACCACTGAAACAATTTACCTAGGATTGTGGTAGATCCTCCATCACAGGCCATTTTTAAATCAAAATTGGATATATTTTTTTAAATATGCCCTAGGAATTATATTGGGGAAGTTCTATGGCCTCTGTTTTACAGGAGGTTAGATCAGATGATCACAGTTGTGGCTTTGGAAACTATGAATCTATGAAAATGTAATGCACATGCTTAAATAAAGTAGCAGCACATCTGCATTTTGTCCACGTTAAATAACAATGTGAACTGTTTGAGTGTTCATTTGAAATAACCCTTTAGTTTGACAATTCTTTTCCAGAATAAACGAGGCAAGTAGTCAGCACTGACAATTAAAATTGGCAAACTTTCATTTTTTAAAATTACAGACACCAACATTGTTTGAGCAGTCCAAACTTATCCCTTACTCTGTGATGTTTCCATACTGATTAAACTGCTTTTTTGAAAACTTGGGAAATAAAAAAGGCCCTGTAACCATGTATTCCAGGTGTCAAATTGGAGCAAATTCTTATAGCCAAATTATAAATGATTCACACTGGAGGTTCCTATTGAAAAGGAAGACTTAGGTGTGCAATAATCACAAACATGGAAAGATTACCTGTGTCTCTATAGAGCCACTGACTGACACTCTGAGAATGCATAACACTTACAGGTGTTTTGACATTTGTCTTCATGAGTGAGAAAACTATCATTCCTGAGTGTTGTAGCCATAAGGGCATCATTAGGTGTCTCCACATGAGTGAAGATAAATGGCATATTTGACAGAAGACTTGGTGTGTGGGGGGAGGGAGTGCAGGGGCTGGGACTGAGTCTCATTTACAATAAAGCTCTACACCATCTCAATGTAAATGAGAATCAGGCCATATATACTTGAGAATTATAGTTATAAATATATTTTATATACACACACAACTTAAGATTTCTTCTTGGCTTTAGTATATTTGACAACTTTTAACATTTGGTTGTATTATTTGGGAATATTTTCTGAAAGAATATTGTTTTGATTTTTCTTTTGTGCAACAGCCATTGCAATGCATGCTATCAGGTTTGTTATACTTGTGTGAGAGTAGTTCAGCATGCTCATGCTATTGGTTGATTTGTTTCTATGGTAAGTCAAACAAGTGAATTTTAAGTGGTGGAATTCAGAAACGCAGCATGATTTCTACTCACTTGGAGAAACTAACTATAGCAGGTGGAATAAATTGTGATAAGACATGCAAAACAAATAGGAAAAAAAATCCAGAAATCAATAGCATGTCAACTGTAGTAGAGGATTTTGATAACCTTGCAGCCACCATAATATTTTAAAGAGCACAGATACATTATATATTGTATGTGCAGTAAAATAAATTAGATAAACATCTATTCATTAGATAGATTGAATGATCAGTCATAGAGATGTTTTCATTTGGATCTTTTTCTCTACTAATTTACTTTATCTTAATAGAGGTCAATTTCATAAACTATGAGAGGAGGGCAACTATGTGGGTGGAATTACAAATTTATAATATGTTTTCCCATGTATTCTAAATACCAGTAGATGAGTACCCTAATTCAGACTCATTCACATCTTTCTTTTACTTCACTGCCAGCAATTCAGGACCTTTGGGCTCGATGCTGTCCTGTGCAGAGCACGCTGGTCCCAGTCGAGCAAAGCACTTAAACACATGCTTAGCTGTAAGTATGTGACTAGTCCTATTGACCTCAGTGGGACTATTGACATGCTTTAAGTTAGGCACATGCTTAAGTACCTTGCTATTGGGGTCATAAACAAGACAGCTGTTATTAAACAAGAAAATCTATTTTTTTAACAAGAGGGCTAATATGCTTCAGACTCAACATTATTACATTCTATAATTGAAATGATAATATCATTTCAATATTAACACATTTTAATCTTGATTGCAGCTGCATGCATATGTGTATGTTATACCTGTGTGAATATCATGTTTCCTGTAGTAATGTTACCTGAAAAGGTCACGAAAGACCTTTGATCCAGCTCTGACCGCACTTACATAGGCGTCACTCAGCGGAGGCCCAGTTTCTCATGTAAGCTGATAAAGATGAGGGTTACTATGGAAACCTTAATTCTGGTGTTTGTGGATTTTAAATCTCACACAACATGATATAATGTGTGTGATTTAAAATCCACAAACACTAGAGTTAAGGTTTCCATAGTAACCGCATCTTCACTGGGCCTTGGCTGAGGTACATCTATGTAAGTGAGGACAGAACTGGGTCAAAGGTCTTTCATTACACTGTCAGGTAACATGACTGCTGGAAACATGACATTATTCAGCTTATATCCAACGGTTTACCCTGTGGAGGTTCAAAGTAATAGTTCTCCTTCTCCCTTTTACCCTCCCCACGAAGGGAAAATCTTGATTCCAGAGCACTGAATCAGAACACAGTTACTTTGTGTGACATACAAAGAGCCTGGTCCAGCCAAGATATGCTCAGTAGGAGACCCAATGGGGGAGGATAGGTGGCTCCACACCACTTTTAGAGCACCACAGTCCTGAAGCTGGCAAGAAGGCAGGTCAGCCTCCAGGGCTAAGCCCACTATAGCTGCTCTAGTTTGTGTCTAGTTAGGAATGGCTGCAAAGAGATGTTCTATCAGTCAAGGATCTCTAGAGAGGAGTGGCACTCTGGCCATCTGCCACACCGCCAGCATTTCCCCTATGCCTAGCTACGCCCCCTAGTTCTGGGAATCGTCAGCAGGCTGGATAAGCCATCTTTACAGCCCCTTTGAATGAGGAGTTTAAAGGGCTGCAGTTGAGGGGGAAGATCAGCCCAAGATTTCTACTTTTATATTCCAATTAAAAGCAATATAAATACAATCCTTTAGCCATTACAGAAAGCAGAATACTTTGCTGAAAGGCATATTATAAAGGAGCAAAACCAATCTATTTAAAAGAAGACCGTTATATAGGCAATATACATTGTTGTGAAATGATTTTCAATTGTAATTTTTTATTACTTGAGGTGAAATCCTGGCCCCATATAAATCGAAGTCACAATTCCCATTGACTTCACCCCTCTGTCTTCAAATTTCTCCTTAACCACAGCTCTTTGAGCAATCCTTGCCACTCTTTTTTTTTTAAATCAGAAATCCCCCTTTAGCTGCACTGATGTTGGTAACTCCCTTACCTGTTATCGGGTGTGTTGTATTATCTTGTGATTGTATCCTGTTTGGGGCAGGAACTGTGGCTCACTACGTTTGTACAATATCAGGAATATTTACAGCACTATGTAGGTACATTTATTTATAATTATTAGTAACAAGGATAATATTACATTAATCCTTTTGGTAGAAGAGACCTGTAAAGATTACCTGAGGCTTCATCAGTGGTGAGTAATCGAGAGTTTTCCTGCTTCTTATGAAGTAAAAAGTAAACAATCCCTTTAGCAATATAGTTGTTTAATCATAATTAAATAGCCCTTTAGAATTTAAACATGCTCACTTATGTTTACCCTGGATAGTCCTTGCTTGCAAGTCTTGGCTTCATCAGTTATCATACTATTTTTGGAGGTGGACACTTACTAGACAAAAGGCTCAAACTGAAACTATATCAAACATGTTCTGAGAGGTGGAGCTTACAATAAAAAAGCTGTCTGGGGGGTTGGAGGAACACAGCCGGATGTTAATTGTGCTCACTCAGATCTTTTTATTTTTCTAGCTAAATTCTTCCTAGAAGCTCAGATTGTCCCTGATCCTAAGAAAATGTTGTAAGGCTCCAAGAACTCTTTCATTCTTTTGCTTCCCCAGCAGCTCTGGAACGCAGAGGCAATTATTCTAAAGGGGCCCTTAGCTCTTCCTGACCAATGACAGGGCCAGATGGGGCCTTTTGGCTTTTACAAGCAAAACTCCCCCTTGGTTTCAGGTTTGCAAAGCTATGGCCCAACCTTCTGAACACTGGAATCACACAAGGGTCCAGGGAGTTCACACCAGAGGGGAGGGGGAAAGTTCAGAGAAAGTTCAATTATTTGCATACAAAAAAGAAGAAAAAAAAGGGGGGGGAGGAAACCCCTCTGAAAGTGCAAATCCTACCCATGTGCATGACCAGTGCACAGAGCGAGGCTTTCCAGCCCGGCATGCATACGGTAGGGGAAGGGGGGTTGCAGGCAGAGGAGGTTTGTTCACACAAACGGATCATCACCACACAGAGTTAAAGAGAGAGTGAAATGGCTAACGTACACACACCCCGCTCCATACCGGAGAAGAGTCTCCCAGCTGAGGCTTATGCTCCGCAAGGACCAGGCTGAAACTGACCGCCCCGACGGCCACGCTGGAGACCCCCAGCCCTATCTCCAGCACGGAGAGCACCAAGAGGCTCCCAATGGTGTGGCTGCTGGTGCACATCCTCGCTGGGTCATCGTTCCTTCCAGCTCAGCCCGGAAAACAAACCATCCGCCTTCTCTCCAGCGCCCCCCTCCCTCGGGCTCCCCCAAACTTTTCTTCCTCCTCCTTAGCGACGAAGCGTCAGATCCGCAGCTTGGAGGCCGGGCATCCCCAAGGCAAAGGCGCCTCTCCTCCGCCACCGGACAGGAGACCCCCCGCCCCAGGCAGCCTCGCTCACAGGGATCCTCCCGTTGGCCGATGGCTGGAGCCCGGCAAGTCGCCGCCCGCCGCAGCTGCGGCCGGCTGGGCTAATCCTCCGGCGCGCCTGGCAAGGCGGCTGGCTCGGAGCTCTCCAAGGTACCGCCGCCTCTTCCGATCCCACCCCCGGGGTCACGCTCCGATGTCTCCAGCAGCCTCCACCGGAGCGCTCGGCTCAGCTCGCCCAGGGATGGAGTGGGGTTTCTGACGGGCCCGGCCAAGGCTTCCTCGCTTTTCCCTGGGCTGGAGCTGTATTCCAGCGTCTCTCCCCCGCTCTCCCAGAGGCTGGGGAACGCAGATTAAATTCAGCACCACGCTCCACTCGCAGGCTGTGTCTCCTCCAGAAAAGTCGACCTTGTCTGATCGCCTCCTTCACTCTCATTGAAATGACCTCACTGGGGTGGGTTCTTTTGGGGAGGGAAGAGGGGAAAATCTACCCTGGATATATTTATGTATGAATCTGGGGCCAATATCCAGGCGAGCCTCTATATCAGCTCCGCCCCAGGGTCCAAACACAAGGCAACTCCCCCCCCCTCCGCAACACACCTCCTACATCCCTACCCCTACGCCCCAGCTGCCAAGGGAGCAGAGAAGTGGTGGTGCTGGCAGCAGAGTCCCTTGATGCAAAACTTTGGGGGAAGGCAAAAGCTGGATTCTGCTGAATGCCCCCCCCCCAAAATGCTGTCACAATATAGAACAAGTGTAAATCTTCCAGTTGCACCAATCAAATCCAGACCTCAGAGCAAGAGCACTGCAAAAACTCAGATCCAGCACCAGGATCCTGGCATTTTTTGGACCCCTACTTCCCTAGTGCTAATGCCCAACTAGAGCACTAGAATAGATGCTCCTGTTATACCAGTGCAATCCAGATCTCAATGCAACGCAGAGCAAACGAGCCACAACTACTCAGAGCTGAATGTTGCTGGATCCTTCTAGTTTTTGGTACTAGTCATTTTGCTGCTTAAATAAAGAGCATGTTCACCCACTCCTATTGCACTTTAAAAATCCAGACCCTGATGTGCCTCAGTGCAACAGTGCTGCAAAAATTCAGAGTTGACATCTAGACCCTGGAAATTGTACCGACAAAACAGATATTAAGTGTTGTGTTTACAATTCCACCCAAAAATGTGGACCCCAATATATCTTGGTACAAGATAGTTGCAAATACTCTTAATCTGTACCAGTATTTTGCTGGATCCAGCTAATTGTGGGCTGCATACTCTCCAGTTTTACTGTCTAAAATTGGTTCATATGTAGCTTCTCCTAGCCAGCAGAATTATCCAGGTCCCAACACTGGAATGCCAAGATGCATTGGGTTCCAGGTTTTTGGTGCAGTAGGAGAGCCTAGACTTATTCCCTATTTTAATGATACAATTTGGAGACAAGAGTCCAAAAATTAGTAGGATCCAGGTAGATCCTGCTTTTTTCAGACCCCAACCTTTCTTCTGAAAAGAGACATAATGATGTGCAGGGCTGGTGCAAGGATATTTTGCACCCTAGGCGAAACTTCCACCTTGCGCCCCCCCCCAAATCATATACATTATACACAATACACGGTCACAGAGTAAAATGTTATAATTTAGAATTTATGTTTCCGCGCTTTAAGTTTAGTAAACTTAGAAACAACTTCCTCCAAGTCAATGCTGTGAGCAATGTCATGTTCTATTGACAAGATAGATAGCCCAACAAGTCTTTGTTGCAACATTGATGTTCGCATGTATGCTTTTATCAACTTGAGCTTTGAGAAGCTTCGCTCACCACTGGCCACAGAAACTGGGAGAGTCAAGAGGATGCGAAGAGCAATAACTGTGTTAGGGACACTATCTGTCAGCTTATTTTCCCACATTCTGTCCAACCAGCCATGCACCTCCAAATGATTAAAAACATCAAATGGTACAAACTCAATTTGAATGAAAAGTTCCATTTTCTAACTAAATAGGTCACCCACTCTCAAATGGTTGCCAAGTGCTCTCTGTGGTGGTATGCTCGTCTGCTCTAAATGCCTACTAACTTCCCTGTGAGAATAGACTTTGATCCAATGAAAGCAGGATGGAAAAGCCCCCCCCCCCCCCCGAGAAGACCTAAGACATGGTGGCTGGATGACATAAACAGACACCTGTCCCTCACAGGAACTACCTCATAACATGCCAATTTTGCTCAGGACAGAACATCATAGAGGAATATTATGCATTCAGTGGTCTCTACACTGGCCAAGCAACAGCATGACAACTAATCTAACCTAACCTAACCAGTCCATCCAACTTTTTTGACTGCTTCTTGGGCACTGGTGAGGGGTAGCAGTGCCAGACTGAGCCCGGTGACAGGGGTGCACTACAAGTCTACAAACCGAGGCGAGGTGCTGGGCCTAGAGTCCTGCTGATACTGCTGTCCTTGCGCCAAGTGGAGCGCAGCCTCCATGAGGAGAGAACTCAAACAAATATCACGCTCCTTCTGCGTGATTCCCTCAAGCACTTCTTCAAGCAGCTGCTATGGGGGTCACTCACAGGCTTAGGCCTGCCTGTTGCAGGCATAACACAGCAGCAGGGCTTAAAACTCAGACAGGGCTGCCCAGAGAATTCAGGGGGCCTGGGGCAAAGCAATTTTGGGGGCCCCTTCCATAAAAAAAAGTTGCAATACTATAGTGACATTTATTTGGAATGTAAAAAATAACTAGTCAAATATATCCAAAAATTAATTTGTAATAATTTGAAAATACACTAAATACATTATTTAAAAACTGTAATGGTATGCATACATTTGCAATTACATAATGGGCTGTTGCTGGGTGATGGTGATGGTTGGTACCAATGGGCTGTCACTGCCTGGGGGTGGTGCTGTTGTTGCCCAGGGCTGGGTGGGGAGCTGGGCTCTGGGTTGGGGGTGCCCAGCTCACAGGGGCTGGGCTCAGGGATGTAGGGAGATGGGGTCAGGGAGGTGTCTGGCTCAGAAGGGCTGGGCTCAGAGCTGGGGGTCAGGGCTATGGGGGGATGGGGTCAGGGGGGTGTCCGGCTCAGAGG